TATTTACTGGATTTGAATACATTTTGTGATGGATAATTTAATTCCTAAATGGATAATCAAGACTTTAGTTTTTATTGTACCGACTTTAGTAATGAGGATCGAAACTAGGCCTAAAATTCAATCGCTTATATCTTGGTTCAGAGTGGAGAAATTTGACGGAAATTTTCAGCATATTCTCTTTACTTTATCTATTTTTTAACAGCGAAAACTTTCAACTATTTATCTAATCTCCCATAATTTCCCTTTAAAAATACTGATGGTTCACTGACTAAGCACTAAAATCATAGCTCAAATTTTAGCCAATGAAAAGGCTGCATTCTTAAAATATTTTACTTTCTTGAATAGGAATCCTTTCACATACATGTAGCAACAGTAAAAAGTCAACTTACACATTAGCTGACCTAGTTGGCAATGGTACAATCATTTCAGGTTGCTTCTTCATGATCAAATATTTTTTTACCAATAAGCCATCATTACACAATACATTTAAGGCAAACCTATACAATTCAAGAGTTGACTTTAAAATCCCATGTATATTAACTTAGTTCTAAAGAACCAGTCATGCAGAAATTAGTTAATTTCATTTGACTATATTTTATTACGTGATTAGTACCTACTAATATTATACTGTATACCTACAAATTTAATGCAAACTTTGTGTGATTAGTTTTCTATAAAACCTGATCATATTAAATGTCACCTGTCAAATGTAACAAATGATTTATTAGTCGTAATCATATCAATCAACACCTTTAGCAATTCTATCATTATTATGACAGATGATGAATTTCATTTATAAAGTTATACAATATTAATTCTGGTATTTCTTTTGTTTCTTAAATTGCAATAAATAAATGTCCTATTATTGTATTTAACTATTACATGCAGCATTATTGGCTTAGAAACCTCTCAATGGACAGAATTAATATTGGTTTATAGAAAGACAAATGGGATTTAAGGTCCAACTGACACAAACTAGGTATTTTTGGGACCAAAATATGGTACAATTTAGTTCAATAATTCGCTTGCATGTAGTGGTCTTTAGCAATGAGAGAAAATCAGAGGACCCAGAGAAAATACACGAGATCTGGCGGGCGACCCTTTTCCTTGAGACATGCAAGCTAGGGATCGGAACCAGCCCATGTGATCTAAAGCGCACACGTTAGACCACTCCCCCCTTCCCCCTCTCTGCCCCTCCCCCCCCCCCTGGCATATACACTTGAAAGAAATAACTCCAAAGACTTTCTTTTGTACTTTATATGATTTCTTATGTTTCTATAATTTAATGTAATAAATCCTAATTCTTTTTTTACCATACATGTATATCAACTTGCTTTATGGAAGGAAACTGTTTTTAAGTAATCACTTTTTAAAAGTTTTATCTTTTTCCTTGAACAATTTTTATCTTAGAATACACAGATTAAAGCACAACAATTAAATATCTTTTTACCATAACGTTTCTTCAAAAAATTCCTAAGATAGCAGAGACCATCCTTGTCATTTACTTTACTATTAATAAGAACCTGAACATAAATTAGAATTTTTACAAGTCTGCTTGGCTCCAGCTTTGGCATTTAATGCATCTCAAGTGTTTAATTAAATGGGAATTGAGCATTTTATTTTCTTCTGTAGATAACCTAAACAATGCAAATGGCTGTGGTGATATTATACTGACAAAAATAAAGCAGACATAAAATCTTTTAAACCAAAAATTTTATGGAATTTTTCCAGAAAATGGAAATGAAATGGAGTTTAACGTCCTACTGTTCTGCTCCTAACCTGGGCTAATGAAGACGGGCATACGCCATACAGTGTGCTATGAGGGAAATTTTGCCAGGACAGCGGCACAACGGCCTACTCTTATATCGAATTCCAACTGCCAAGGGATCTTTTACGTGCACGCCAATGTGTACACAGGACCTCGGTTTTTCGTCCCATCCGAACGACTAGACAGCTTTCCTTGTCAGCCCCTCCGTCCTGCATCACTGACAAGGGAGAACCACGCCGGAAAATCTGGATGAACTTTCTCGGCCAATGCAGGGATCGAACACCCGACCTCCAGGCTAGCGAGCTAGCGTCTTACCCACTAAGCCACGTGATCCCCCCAGAAAATGGAAGGTACACGATAACTTTTCAGATCAGAGAGCATTTTAATGCAAGGCATAACTGTTGGGAAGTTATCAGCTCCCCAATGTACAACAAATTCTTCATTTCCTAATGTATGAAAAAATTTTGTTGGTCATTCGTATTACTGGTATTACTTGTCAATTTCCGACAATAAAATAGATTTAAGCAGGCGGCTCATTATTTTTCCGGAAATAAAAACATGGAGCATTCAAAAAGGTGCATGATGCGTACATAGATGGCAGGCTAATATAAGATGGAGTGAGCAGAAACATTAATTATAACAGATTATGTGACATTGGGTTAAATAGACAGGAGTAGTGAAGAAACTGGTAGTATGTCACTTAGTTTACAGACGGTATATGGAAGCCGCCATTAGACCGGTAAAATCACACTGTAGTAAACAGGTGATATGTGCTGTTTCGCAGGATTTGTTTATTCAGACTACCGAAAAAAGCAAATGCGTCTAATTAGTATGAACTAGTCAAACAAGTTCTCAAGGCTGACCAAAACAGTTGTTCTTTTGTTTGTAAACTCTGCCATGACACTTAAAATGGCGATTCAAACCCATTTCTGACAATCCCAGCAGAAGATGAAAGATTAAGATGGTTGAATACCAGACTTAATAATCAATTACGTCTGAAATGAGAAGCAAACATGGTCAGGGCAATATGCTTTGATGTGACAGTAAGATTCTTCAAGCAAACTAATCACATTATTCAAGCTCCTCAAATTCACCTATTTCTCTATACTGGGTAAGCAAAGTCTATTCATGTACCCACACATAGGATGTTCGATGGATGATGTGTCTATTCGGGCATCCAACTTCTACTGCATCAATGTGCCAACACGACTTTTTTCTACTTAAAGTATAGTCGACACAAAACTCTTGTCATTTTGAAACTAACATATAGTAAACTATATTCTAAAGTTATTTGATCAGCACAAGGAAGGAGAATTTTGCCCATACAGCAACCAACTCTTTGCCTACTCTGTCTCGATTTAAAACTATCAAGGGTTCTTCTTACTTTTTGTTCCACCCTAAAGACTGCCAACCATTATTAGAATACAAAATCTATAATTTGATTATCATCCCATATTGCTGGGTATTGAATTTGAATGAATGAATAAAATGGCATTGGGGTTTTTCTCCACCATCCAGGCTAATGAAGAAGGGAATTTAAATTTTTACTATGATGTATGCAGAGACAATTTAGGAAATAAAATAGACAAATGGAACTTTACATGGAAACTTGTGAAAGAATGTCTGTTATTTGGTTTTGTCAACATTGTTTATGGGCTGTTAAAACAGCTGTATATTGACAGATGGTCAGTGAGAGAATGAACATAAACAACCAATGTCCACACATGACATCTCTTTACTTCTTCTTCATTTGTCCAGTCATTGTTTCAAATTATCTTCTTAAATCCTCAACCCTCCTCAATCTTTATTCTGACTTCTTCTGTGAAAGTATTGCAACAGATTGGGCTGTACAATCCTCTTTCCAGACGTGAAGATGTAATGACAAGAATTAGAAGTAAACAATCGTAACATCTGGTCCCAGAGTTCACGAAGCATTCTCCAGACTTAATATCCTGGATCAGACGCAAGTCACATAGCATTTATCTCTACATGACCTTAAATAATACTGAATCCAAAACATAAATACTGTACACAATGTTTCAATCTGTTGTCAATTTGGCATTTCACAAAACAATACTACATTTTGAATTCAACAAAATCTGTAAAATTTGGAAATGAATCTGTTAAAAGTTTGTAAAAATTGGAAATGAATCTGTCAAAATTTCGTAAAATTTGAAACTGAATGAAATTGAGAATCAAAAAAATTCCAAATCTTGCAATTCTTTCCACTCAATGGTAATTTGCTATTTTTTATTTGGTTAAGATGTGCTATCAATCTGTATTAACATGAATGTATCAACATCAAAACTAGAAAATAGCATTAAAGAAATACAAACGGCTCGAAAAAAAAAATAGTGATCATAAAACGTAATTGAAAACCAGCAAAATCCTATTTTAGTAAGCTCTATGGACGGTTAAATTATAGATTTGGTTCAGTAAATCAAATATCAATCTTCTGTTCCTTTCAGCTGTCTTTCATCACAGAAAACACCACATTACAATTATATCCTCACATTGTAATATATTGGATTAAAGAAGATTTGACAAGAACAAAACGGATCCTGAACAGACAATGTATTTCAATAGGAATATGATTGAAACAGGAGAAACAATTGATAGATGAAGTGAGGCCTACATAGTCTATTCCAGTTATGAGACTCCTCCCAATCCCCCACCCTCATGACAAGAGGAAGATGAAAGTGTGTTGTTTTAAACACAATTGAACAATGTCGAATATGACAACAGATGTTTAAGACTACAGTGCACGTAAGAAGGCTCATATGTGTCAAAAATATTATACACCTTGGCCGGCGGAACTAGGATTCAACGGGAGAAGCCTATAGGTAGATCTGGCATATTACACACTGTACTCCCAAATCTAACAAAACTTTAAACATGAGAATCAAACACTGTAATGACTTTTACTGTTTTAAGACAAATTTAAGATGGAATCATAATTGAGCCATGGAATTTCTAAAAGTACACGCGTGGATTGATATCAAATTTCAAAAGTTAAGTTGTGTTGTAGAAAATTAAAAACACATTTCCAATTATCTTTGATTGGCATTTAGACTCAGAATCTGTTTTAGTTTAGATTACTAATTGTAAGAGATTAAATGTTTTTGAAAAACATCCATTGTGCATCTGCAATTTAGCATAGTATTTTTTATTCAGAGAACATATGTTTGAAGTATTTTTCTTTTGTTCATTATATAGTAATTTTAATACCAACCTCTTTCTAAAGGACATGTGCTCCTAATTTATTTCCTCACATGGGTTTAATCACAGTTTGAATCTGTATTTCCCCGTCTGGCACCAGGCGCCTAATAATCACTATCCTCAGTCTTTAGTCGTACTTTGTCTACTACTACATATATCCGGTTTTAGATTTTGAAGATATATCCCTGATCTTTTATCCGATATTTGGCATTGACGTCAACATGGGTAACCATTTACACATCTCAATAATCCAACTTCTGATTTGTGATTCTGGAATAAAAATAAGAGGATGAAAATTAAATGGGTTGAAAGCTGAGATACTCTGTGGTAACAAACAAAAGAAATGTTAATAGCTTTCTGCAGTTTATTGTGCAGAAGTTATTGATTTATTTCTAGATCTGATATTAATTCACTTTTATGGGTTAGATAATCGGATAAGCGATTGGCATACATTAATACAATTTACCCATGCCAAGGCAATCTCTTTCTACTTTCCAAAACAATGGTTACAAGCTTCAATTCATCAAGTATCAGACAGAGATTGAACATGTATCAAATGCAGCTGTCAATTTTTCTGTGTCAAAAACAAACAGAGAGATATTCATTTTAAAGAACTAAAACGGATTTTGAACTTTTTCCAGATAAATTAATTTTGAAAAGACCCAATTTTCTTATTAGTTATTTGTCTCAAACGTAAATGACAACTCATAAATGAGCCAGCGACGACAGAAATCTTAAAAAGGTACAACAGTTTTTTATAGATTTATCTTCTGTTCGTGAATATTTCAGTTAGATTCACAGATATCTTCTATTCCAGCTACAAATAACTACCCCTATTAAAACCGCATTTCTTCACTCAAATTTTAAAATTTATACAATTGAATACAATACAACCACATTAAATCCAAATAATACACAGTATTATATCCATTATAATCAACATACAGTTAACTTTGTGAGTTTTCTAATATCCTGTATTCCAAAATAATTAAGCATACACTGTCTTGTGCATGATAACTGCCACACTCTACTTATTGCACATAGTTTACATATAATTCACAAAAAATAATATATCAAAGCAAGGGCTTATAATAAACTTCCAAATGAATACCTATATAAAGTGAGAATCCTAAATTATAAGTCCAGTTGAGATGATTATAATTCATATGTTAATGACTAGTAACTTGTTAATTACAAACACAGGGACATGTTAATTTGATCAGTGAATAATTAATGAGTGTATGTACTGATATACATATAAGCCAAGACTTGTTTGTGGCACAATTTATTGAAAACTCTTGCCAATTTACACACTGTATAATAAAGACTCACAATATTCAATTCAAAATTTTGAAGAGGTAAAGACATGATGTATGAATGCATTGTCAGTGCTTATATTGACAAAACAGGTCACCTGTAGCTAAAATCTGAGCAGGAATAAATTTGTTTAGTTAAAGTACATCACCTATATAATAAACTTGGGAGAAATATGTTTTAATGTCCTAAACAGGAGATAATATTTTGGAACCAACATATTATTTTGTTTCAGTCGCATGCATGCAGAGCTCTTTAGTTGTGTGAGAAAACAAGAAAGAACCTTGAATAGGATAGGCAGATGACCCTATATCTTTTGACATACCATTTATAGAAGTATAGATCCAAACCCAGATCTGATCCATATAAAGCTAGTCAGCTACCCAACCACCAGCCATTTAACAGATTTCATATAAGTTCAACAAAAAATCTTTTTAAATGCCAATTATGTCTTTTTTATATTATTTCCTTTGTACCATTGTTAGAAATTTGTTACAATTAATAAGGTCAGTGATTTTTTTATCAACTAATCTGATAATCTGATTACCTGTTGTTATTATATATATATATATGTATCAAGTTATTCAACTATGTATACTATGTGGTGTTAAAAGGTCAGATTCCTCACACTAAATTTGTAATGCAGTTGACCACAAAGATTTCCACACCTTTAATTCACAATAAAGGTCAGTGAATTATGACACCCACCATGCGCAACAAAAAGTTATCTAAGATTTAAACTTCGGCAATCACACCCTTTCCCAAGACTTTTTAATCATTTGGACAGTCTAAATGAACTAGTGCTAAAATGAAAACAACAATAGTAATTTGGAACACTGAATTAAATCCCAGTCAGTAAATTTCAACTAGCTCATCGGTAAAATGTTACAACATGATTATATTGTAAATGTACCTTTTTCAATGTTCTATCATTTAATTTGCTTGATAGAAACCTCTCATTGTTGTGAATCCCACTAATTACTGTCTTGACAGAATTGGTTCTCATTTCAAATATTGGTACTTGATTATCAATTGGGATCTAATATGTGTCTTTGTTTTGTGAAATCAAGAATTTTGGATTTATATCTTTCTGCAATTATTCCAATTATTCAATAATTATTTGAAGCACACAGACAACTATCTACTTGGAGAATAGCAGCCATATCCAAATAATTAATATTAGTACTGTATACTAATTTGGAATATGGTTCTGGTCCGTTTCACATCTGTTATACATTCAAACACTAAATAAACCCTTCCAATTTTATTATATGGAAGTGGAATAAATATTTCTAAAAATTATTGAAATTTACTTAAAGATTGGTTCCCAGAAAAGTATTTATCGGGTGGTTATTTCCAACAAAAGTATGGTAATTTTGGTATATATGGAAAGTAGAGATATCCAATCTTACTAGAAAAATACTGGATTCCCCGAAAAACACTCATGTAGCGTACAGAGGACAAAAATGTAAGGGTTCCCCTAATCAACAGCCCGACGATTAGGAATTTCTGCACGCGTGATGTCAAAGATCACACGCGAACATTGAGCGCTTGATGTACAAGTTGATAACTTTATGAAGAGTTAGACGTACAACACTTTCTGAGATAAAAATGACGCGGGTAGTGGATAATCCGAGAATTTAATTAGGATTCGATATTTGTAATAAATATTAAGCGATTAAAGACAACATCGTCTTATGTATGCAATGAATTCTCCTCTGACTTCCAAGAGAGGTAAGTCACATGATGTAAACATGACCTGGTTTGATCAAATTTTTATAGCAGGACATTCCTTCGCAATTACAATGTTTGAGAAGGATTTGAAGCAAAGTTATGACAAATTAATTAGTTTGAATATGTTTTTAGTCCATATATACCATTTAATCACCCAGTTTGTACGCGGGAACCCATCTTTAAGATTTTTCGATTTAGGTATGAAAATGTTGGCCAACTAGCTAACTGTTCTCTGGCTGAGCTAACTGTTGACAGACCACGTAACTTTAGTACGAGTCGTCCATTCAGTCTATTTCAGGGTTACCATATAATTGAACTAACACCAACAACAGCAGGGATCTTGTAAGGTATTAGATAAACAATGAACAGATTGAACCCAAATTAAACAGGAAGGTCCTATTATTATCAATGAATCCACAATGGTCCCTGCTGTGTTTCATGTAGTCTTAAACTGTAATGGATAGAACATGTTCAACTCCATGAAACAAGTGTTACCAATAGTTAATTAAAATGTCAATGACCTACATATTGTAAAACATGTCACCAGAAACATAAAGACAAATGTTACAGTCTGCACACTAGAAAATTCAAAGGTAATATCCCAATCATTATTTTTCAATATTATTGTTTAAGTTTCTGCCATCTGGTTACAAAAATGTGTCATTTTCCCATTCAATTAAGAAAAAAATTCCTCAAGGACAAGTTCAGTCACCCAAATTATGTCGTCAAAAGCCTGAAAATCAAGTACCATAATGTTGTAGCATACAGGAAAGTGATTATTTAAATAAATTACACAGAGAGCTAATGTATAATCAACTCTAATGTAATCAACACACACGGTTAAGTCTATATAATTTACAGTTAAATACTGTGTACACATAAATTTACACCAATATACTAATTCATGTAGACATTTCAGATCCATAATAAACATGATAATTCATGGTGGTTAGAGATATTTACCAGTGATAGATATACCATGTATCTATGGTAAATTTATACCTATTATATGGTAAATGTTTTATTACTGTAAGTGTAAATACATGTGCAAAAGTGTCTTAAAATGATTGGATACAACCATCAATTTTGTTTGGTCCAATTAAATATTAATAGATTTGGACTAAAATCAATTGCTTCTTTACTAACAAACAGAAATGGTGAGTAAAATAAATTTGTCTACAAACCTATGAGTTTACAATTAATCCTCTTAAATATGATAAATTCCTTGTACACAAAAATCACCAGCCAGTCAAAATGACCACAGCATATAGAATTTCCAATCAAAATATGGACTCCTCTAGCAGTCTCCCCCTTTAATCCTGACCAAAGAATTGCCTTTTATCACACATATTTGTGAGCTTTCACTATTGATAAATACTCTGCACCTAAATCCTTGAAATAAACTCTACCTTTGTGTATGCGACTCTACAGACTGCATGTAGTTGGCTAATAAACCGGCTGAGCAGTTACACTTTTAATTGACCACTATTTTCCCTCTCATATTGTTATCCCTTCTGGGCTTTTGACAGGACTGGTCCATTCACTATAGTAAGGGGTGTTAAGGTGGCGTAATGACTGACAATAATGCCACGGTTTGTGGGTTTCAGGCTGTAGACGACCCTGTATAAGCTAGGTTAGGTAATAGAAAATAAGTTTAACCTATTAACTCCCCGGCTTTTATTGATCTAAACTCCCAATGAATCATGGTATTTATGCCTGAGGAAAGAGAGGCTTAATATTATTGGTTTAAACATAAAAATATAAATATTTAAGTCGGGCTGAATCCGGTCTACCTCCTTAATTCATTACTGGCTCACTTCGTGTTGATTTCTTGCAAATGGTTTACATTTTGAACCATGGTAAAAAAAAAATGAAGGTAAACAAAAAGGATTCCTTTCTTGCAAATATGCACAGAAAGGTATTCCGGCACACTGACAAAAGAGTTTATTATGTGAAATTGACGTAAAAATTCTTGAGGATATCTTCGGGCCTTAAAATATGTAGCTGTGACAAAACATTCCCGGTAAAATCTAAAAGCAACTGGTGGTACCGATCTCATACAGAGAGAAGACAAGCAAATTAATACCCACATCAACACTCGATAGGTTATAACCTAAACACAGTGCACCAAAGCTGTCAATAACTGATTGTATCTTTTAATAACATGCCAATTTATTCAGATCCTACATACAGATAAGCATCAGCTTAAGAATATCAATATG